TCAGGATTTTTTTCCTTTGTAGACTGATGATTCTAAAGTTCATATGGAAAAATAAATAAGAAAGAGTAGCCAAGAAATTTTTAAAAAGAGGAATAATAAAGGGACCAGTCCTACTAGATGTTAAAATATATTATAAACCTACAATAATTTAAAAAGTATGGTGTAGATTAATGTTATGGAATGAAGAGTACAGAAATAGTCAAAACATGTAAGGGGATTTTGGTACCAGTAATTCAATCAATGAAGCAATGGTTAACTATCCAACAAATGGGATTGGGACTATTTACTAGATACCTGGAAACAACTGCAGTCAGATCTATACTTCACACCTTTTATCAGGACAAATAAAAATCCCAAATCCATCAAAGACTTAATATCTATAAAGTAAAAGCATAAAAATCTTAGGAGAAGACTTAGGGGAATGCTTTTATAACTTTGAAATGGATGAAGCCTTTCAAATTGACTTAAACTCCATACTATGAAAACATTAATTGAATTACATAAAAAGAAATATCTCCATGGAAAAATCACCATGAGCATTGTCAAAAGTCAAACAGTAAATTGGGACAAGATCTTTAATTCTGTCCTACACAGTTTGTTTTCTAATATAAGGAATGTTCCTGAAAGTCAATAAAAACAAACATCACAAAAGTAAAATGGGCAACAGAGAGTTCACAAAAAAAAAAAAAAATGCAGATCGCTTTTAAATATATGAAAAAATGCTAAACCTACAGAGAAAGTTAAGAATGTGCCGAGATGCTATATTCACCTCTCAGGCTGCCAGAAACTTGATAACATACCTTGCTGGTTAGCAGGCTTCTGCTGCTATGGAAGTTTAAGTTGTTCCATCTCAAAGGAGTCCAAAGATGGATGTTTGGTAGCATTACATTTTTGTACTATCTGATTCAGAAAGTTCGTTTCTAGATAATGTTTACAGTCCCCTTCACATGTGTACCAATGTCACATGTACAAGCTTCTCCGCAGCCACATGGTTTGTGATCACACTGTATTGTAAACATCCTAATATCCAACAATAAATTTGGTAGAGTATTATGCAGCCATAAAAAATAACTAGGAGCTGCTTTATTTGTCAAGACAGGTTTCTCGTATACATTAAGTGGAAAAAATAAGGTTAGAAAATTGCATATAGTAAGCTCCCAACTAGTTTAAAAGAGGGGGGTATAAAATACAAATGCACATTTTCTAATTTATGTATAAAGTGTGACCAAGAGGACACACAAGGAATGAATAAAGCAATTTACCCATAGGAAGAGAGAGGGGTGTTTGGGGAAAGGAGGCAGGAGGGAGAACATTTACTGTATGTCCTTTATATTTTGGGGATTCTATGAAACCGTTCCCTATTGAAAAAATTTAATGAAACTATTAATAGATCAATTGAATAAGTAATGGCTAGTCCCTATATATAAATAGAAAAATGATTTTGCTGCATTTTTCCCACTGTTGAAAAAAATGACCTCTCTAAAATATGCCCAGTTCTCATAAGTGCCCTGACCTTGTATTTGAGGACAGAGTAGATAGGGATTAACATATAGGCAGAAGTCCCTCTTCAACAAACCATCAGTCAGCAAGTTTGATGAGTACCTGCTCTGGCCTTGTTGTGACCTGAGCACCCTGGGAATGAATTCTCAGGAGGGAGAAACACCACTGGCCCTGCCCTACAAGCTGGGCCTCAGGGCAGGCAAAGCTGAGAAATCAGGGAGGCTTGGAGACCCCCTAGTGAACAGGTAGTGCTAAAGCCAGCAGGTGGGAGATAATGGGGCAGGAACAGGAAACAGTCCTGGCTACAGTGGTGGAAGAAGGGGCGGGGAAACAGCGAGGGGACCTGGGCCCTCTGCATTCTGCAGCAGGCAGAATCCCAGGGACACACCTTCATACAGCAGTCCCAGTCCCTACCCTCTGGGGGGAAGGACATGCTGTCTCTCCTTCCTTTTTCTCTGCCTGAGCACACACAGGCCTGGGCTCCCTGAGCTCCCCCACCCCTGAAACTATACTCAAGTTCAGGACCAGACCAGGTTGGTCCCAGGGAGGCTAGAATTTCTCTTCTTAATGAAACTGAAGATCCCCAAATAATGATCTAGGATTGGCCTTTCTGGTTCCTAGTGGTCTCTCAATCTGCTTTGACATTTTCTGTGACCTAGGAAAGGACCATAAGTCAGTATCTCTTCCCTGGAACTTGGTTTCTTGGTGTTATTCGAGTATTAGAGAAAGAGACCACAGAAGAGAATCTGAGGGGGTCACTAATAGATTTAAGCATCTGTGCAGGACTGTGGGAAGAAATGTTTTGGCCTGGGGCTCCCTGGGCCACAGCAGAGGAGCAGGTGTGTGCTGCCTGCAGGACAGGTTTGGCCGTGGTGTCGCCCCCCCCCCCACCCCCACCGCCACCGCTGCAACTTCCTCTCTCAAGAAGAAGGGGAGGCAAAAAGCAAAGGGGTGATATGCCTTTGGGGCCAGGACAGGCAAAGAAAAGCAGGAGGTGAGGATAAGCAAGACTTCCCAGCTTCCCTTGCTCAGAACAGGAACCCTGTGCAGAGGGAAAGGCTAAGCCCCATGTGCCGGAAGTGCTGAGTCAAAATTCTCAGACCAAGGTCAAGGTTGAGGCTGACTTGTAATCTTCTGAATCTGTTCCACTCACACAAATTACAATGTGTCCTTCCTGTGACATAACAAAGGGTTTCAAAGAGTGCCCTGAGGGTGGCATGTGGGGTCCTTTGTAAGTTGGGGTAGAGAGCTTGGCAGGGAAAGATTCACCAAAATGAAGGCAAGAAGGCAGAGGGCTGTGGCCCTCCGTGTCAGAAACACGCACCTTCAGAGCAGGAGACGTGCCCTCTCTTCCCAGGCCCACTGACCCTCCTGTCACCTTCCAGAAATCACTTCTCTTCTCCCGCCTTCCATTTCTTTACTTTTGCCATGGTGCTAGTGGAGAGTGCTCTCCTTACTGCTCAGTGGGATTAGAACACGTGGGGTTTGTAAACCACCAGGTGCTTTCACATATTATTACTGTTGTTATTCATGAGCGCTGCTGTGTTGCTTGTGTGGGTCTAGGAAAGAGGACCCTGGATTTGGGGACATGAAGGGGCCTGTAGCTCAGCTCTCAGAGATGCCCATATTGGCAGGTAAGCAGGCAAGACCCCTGCTCCCTCAGTCTCCCAATGAAGGAAGTGGGTGCCAGTGTTACAGGTATGCTGCTTTCACACCTGTTACCTCGTGAAGCCTTCAAGCAAGGCTACAAGCAGGCAGGTAGCAGCCCAATTCTAGAGATACAATGATGAACTGACCAGAGACTTTACCAGGGCTGTGCCACCCTGACTTCCTGCGCCCAGCCTGGCATTCAGCTCACAGCCTCCCAGGCTTGACCACACACCAAGGACAGGATGGGGTGTTGGGAAGCCCCAGTCCCAGTGACTCTGCCTGGTCAGACTCACTGCTTGTACTTTATTAGCACTTGCTTAGAGCAGAACATTTTATGTGCTTGCTTTTTTTCTCAAGAAGTCTCAGCTGTACGTGGAAATGGGGCAAAGGGGGAAAGCAGGCAGGTCCTAAAAGTGCTTCCTACCCCACCTTGGCACTCAAGCCTGGATTCCTGGTGGTGGCTGGAGTTCAAGTCCAGACACCAGCAGGCATGTGAGAAAGGCCGCTCTTGCTATGTGTGCCAGGGAATGGGCCTTCTTTGCCAGACCCCCACCCAGACTCACTGCTGAGGGAGATCTCAGTTCTGGGTCCTTCTGTGGGGCAGGTCTGGGGTTTGCAGACTAAGTTGAAAGGGGAATTCTTATCCAAAATCCCAAGCTACCAAGTGAGGTTGCAGTGGTTGAAGCCAGCATGCCCCCATGGCCCTCACTGCCTGCACAGAACCCTCTAGGCTTTGTCGGTCCAGGTTATTGCAACACGTTTCTCCTCCAGGCCTTTCCCCTATTCAACCTGCTTGTCCCAGAAGACTGGTCTTGCAAAGGCACTGGGTTCATGCATGTGGGGTCCTGTTGCCCTCAGATGAATTACAAACCCCTCTTCCTGGCATTCTAGACTCTTTGTGATTGGTTTCAACTCATCTATCTTGCCTCATGTCATGAGACCCAATTTTCTAGTCTTTTCACTACCTTTTGCATCTTCTGTGTTGTGCTTCCTTCCCACCTCTCCCCACTCCCTGTTCTCTTCATGGTCTAACCAAACCTTACCTTCTAGTCAAGCATCTCATGAGAGTCACTGTTTCCTGGAAGCTCTCCCTCCCTGCAATGACTATTAGTGTTGTCCCCCTAAACACAGTATCCCAGAGAGGCAAGACCCCTACTCCCTCAGTCTCCCAATGAAGGAAGAGGGTGTCAATGCTAAAGGCGTACTGCTTGCACACCTCTTACCTCATGAAGCCTTCAAACAAGGCTACAAGCAGGCAGGTAGCAGCCCAATTCTAGAGATATGATGATGAACCTACCAGAGACTTTACCAGGGCTGTGCCACCCTGACTTTCTGTGCCCAGCCTGGTATTCAGCTCACTGCCTCCCAGCCAGAGCTGAGCCCTTTAGAGCAGCCCCTCATTCTAACAGCCAGATGGTTTTATGTGATTCATTGATGTTAGTGTATGTCTGTCCGACCCCTCCAACCAATCCCCATGGCTAACTCATGAAGGAAAGAGAGAGGATAAGTTGCATCTTTCTCTCATATCAAGGACCAAATTATATGACTTTCAGCATACAGTAGAGCGTCAATAAATATCAGTTGTCTTTGACCTGTTAAATCACAGCAGTCTTGGGATATTCCCAGAATTTCAGAAGCTCTTCCTTCATCTGGGGCAAATGGAGGTCCCTTTGGGGCCTGACCAACATGGGCGAGAATCCTGGACAGAGATTGGATGTAGGTAGTTAAGCCACCTCAAAGACTTGTCTTTCTATAGCAGATTCCTCTGGGGTATACACATCTCTCCAACCCAAGAAGACCATGTTGGGGTGAGTGAAACTTTAATCATGTGGTTCTGGGCTGCTTTGCAGGGATTTGAAACTGGACAACATCCTTCTGGATGCAGAAGGTCACTGTAAGCTGGCTGACTTTGGGATGTGCAAGGAGGGCATTCTGAACGGCGTGACGACCACCACCTTCTGTGGGACTCCTGACTACATCGCTCCTGAGGTAAAGCCGTGTTTGAAAGGTCACCTCCTGCTGGTGCTGAAGCTGAGACAGGGTCGATCCCCATGCTCTGGGACATCTAGTTGGTCCTAGATAGATTTCAGAGAGGAGGGAGGCAGGGGAAGGGAAAGACTTGCCGATTTCTCCATAAAAAAAGTTGTGGTGATGGGGGAGATGATGGGTGAGTTGAGAGTAACAGGCTATTCCCTGACTCGGGGCAGAGCCTCACTCGACATTGCTCTTTAATCCCAGGTCAGAACTGCCAAGGAGACTAGGACCAAGAGAAATGTGTTAACTTATATCATAGATTTCACTTCTTAATCACCATCAAGGAACACTGAATTAAGACTGCAATTAACTGTATCATCTATACTGTATCATCTATAGTTTGCTTACAGTAGAAGCTGGAATCATTCACCATTTCTCATGTAGGGGTGAGTCTTCATAATGAGCACACAGGCTAGGGCAGAAAGAGGAGAATCACTGTGCTGCATTGTACATGGAGCTCAGAGAAGGCCACTGTGACCCTCACCCATGGATTATCCTATGTCAAAGTTGTTCAGATCTTTTGTTCATCATAAAGTGTTTGTTTGCCTTGAGTTTCTCCAGGTCAGTTTTGCCCAAACCGAGAGATAGCTAGTGTGATATGATTCATATTCAAGACATAGTCTATCATAGAGTCTTAGTAAAAATGATCTGTGGCTTCTGACACAGGTAAGATGGGAAGGAAGTGCCAATCACTCACAGAGGTTAAGTGTTAGTTAACACATTCGGATTTCATTTCTTTTCAGTGGGCACTGTTTGAGCACCTGCTAGACACAAAGCAATGTAAGGATAAAGAATTGGCTTAACACTGGTTGTTCTCCTAAAAGATCTTTTGGTCTAGAGGGAATGACAGATAAGTAAACAACCAATTAAGCAGAATAAATAGATACTCAAAGCAAGATGATACCCTCAGGGATCAGGGAAACCTCTGGGAGCACCTGGTGAATGAATTGAGTTGTGATGAATAAGCAGGATTTCCTTTGGAGGTAGGGTGGGGAGCATTCCTGAAAACAACAGAGAGGATGGGAGTGGGGGTGGGAAAGGAGGTTCAGCAACTCTGGGCTCTGAGTCCTTAGGGCAGGGGCTGTGTTTCTAATCTAGGTACTCCCCAGATCTAACACTCAAAGCAGACTCTTTGTATTGGTTTATTGAATGAATAAATGAATGAGAACTTGTGACATTTCTATATGAGGAAAGACCAAAGACATGAGGATATTCTTGGCCATTTTTAGAAAAGGAAGAGTTTTGCTAGAGCATTGGATTTCTTAATGCTCATAGTAATGAAGAGATTAAGAAATAGAATGAAGAAATGTGACCTTTACCCTGCAGAAATTTTGGTCCCACTAAGGGTTTCCAAGTGGAGAGAGTCGTAGGAAGAAGACAGGCAATGTGGATGAGAAGTTAGAGAGTATGTGGAAGGTAGTTGAGAGTCTTTTCACAGACCAAATGAGACATGGATGAGGGTCCCATGGAAGTGACAATGGTGAGTAGTAAGTACTCACTACTCATTTACATTCTCTTTAGAATCTTTCTCTTCTGAGAGATCTAAAGAGGAGATTTTGGCCCATCTCGACTAGCACATTCCCTTAGTAATTTAACCTTCAATGAGAATGAAAGTGATTTTGTTATTTTCCTCATTCATTCTTTATCATCAAAATGCTCAGTTCCAGTCCCTCTAGGAATCAAAGGGTTGATGGTCCAGTGTAGAGACTAAGGGCCCACCCAGCCCAAGACCAACATTCATTTCATGATGAAAAAAACTCCCACATCACTTTCACAAAAGACAATCCGTTGTAAAGATTTACAATGAACAACTCTGATTTCTGTTTGTAAAGAGCCACAGTCTTCCTTTTCATTCTATATTTGCATCTAGTTGCAGAATTGCCTCTATGCGTGATACGGCATGCAAATCCTGGTCTCACTGCAAGCAAATTACAGAGGATAAGCCATTACTGTCTTTATCAAAGGGACAATTAAATGAAAGTTTAATTGGGACAATTAAATGAAAGTTTGCCTCTGAAGTATTTAGTGCAGTGCTCAGGCACCAGTAAGCCCTGGCTAAGTGGTGGCTCCATTGTGTCATCATTGTTGTCGGTAGGAAGGGAAAGACACAGCCCTGAGAGTTGAGGTTCCAGGTTAGGTTTGCCCACTCATGTCCCCATGTAACATTTGGACCTTCAGTTTACTCATCTTTCAAATGGGAATAATAACTACTGCCCTACCTACCTCATCAAGCTATTTTGAGAATCTAATGAGATTAGAGCATGGAAATGCTTCAGAAAGCATAAGCCTCTATTCATATAGGAGGGGTTGTGAGGCACTGGGCTAACACCGAAACCAGAGACAACTTCTGAGGCATTAGCTCTGCCCTAGGGCTTCACTTCCCACCACGTACCCTTGGCTAACCCCGATAATACCAGCCCCGCCCCCAAAGTGGTGTTCAGCCCTGGGTAGTGCCTCTCATCATCATACCCAATGCCTACCCATCTCTTTCACTCCAGCTATCACCCACTAGAGAGGTTAGCTGCCGTGCTGGGTGCAGGGTGACCGCCCATGGCGTGCAAAGCCTTGCCCTTCTCACCAATTCCATTGCTGACAAGGTGATTAGGAAGAAGATAATTAGGGCCAAGCCTGCAAGGTATTTTACAAAAGATGCCACCCAAAATATGAAGACTTTGGAGGGGGCCCAGGGAAGAATAGACAGGGCCACTCTGTGGTTTCCCCAGCACCACCCTGTCTGAGCACACAGGGCCACCTGGACGCCACCTTCCCACCATCCTGTGTAGGTACAGCTCCCAGCTGTGCCACCTCCCTGGGGCTAGAGAGTGGTCACCTTTGTACCAGAACCTGGAGCCCAAGAGAGAAGGGAGAATACACAGGAAGGGACTCATGCAGTGGGCACACATAGCAGCCAGTCTCCCAGATGTTGGATATAGTTTCCCAGTGAAACTCGCAAAGTTGACCATCACCCCATGGCTAACTGCAAGCAGGTTTGGCCCAAAGTACAGGCCCAAAAGCTCACCACAAGTCAGAGGTATCTTCTGGTGAGGAACTATAAGAAAATGGGCAAAAGGCCAGGCAAGTATGGAATGAAAGGTAAAATTAAAGTCCAAATCAAGGTAACAGCCTCCTCACAGGTATCTCACACACATCTCCTCCAAGTGTCTCTACATGTCTCGACTCTATGTGTCCCCTTCCATGTCTCCCAAGTCCCTGGTGCAAGTCTAAAGCCAAGAAGCAAGTGGGACTCATTCTTCACATGTGTGCTCCCCATGCCTCCTCCAGAATCTTCTCTAGCTTCCCTACCCCGCTCAGCTCCGGCCCTCATTAGGCAGGGAACATGGCACCTCCCCCCTTTATGGAGATTGCGCTGTGACAGTGATACCCACTACTTTAACTTTACAGATCAGGGAGTTGAGGCCCATGAGGGGTAAAGGAATTATAAGCTAGAAATCCATAGTGACATCTCCACCATGTCAGCTCTTCTGTCAATTTTGCCAAATAGTCTTAAAACTAATTGTATAACTTGACTTGGTGCTAGCTTTTCAGAGTGTGTGTGTGTGTGTGTGTGTGTGTGTGTGTGTGTGTGTGTGTAATTTCACGGACTAGCTTCTTTGAAATTTATGTGAAAAATCCATCATGGAGAAGTTGGTTCCTAGTTAAAGATTATACAGTTCACTCTTGAGAAATCTACAGAGCACAATAAGGGAATTGCTTTGTGTTGAAGTAATGTGGTGTGAATTGTGTATGTATTATGAAAATAAACACTGCTTGGGGATAAATACCCTTTCTGGAGACTGCATCCTTGAAAATATTTGGATGGTCTTCATTACTCTCAGCAAGCAACCCTAGAAAAGTCAAACAGGGAGCAAAGCTCATGCTGTTGTATAAAACAAGCCCTTGTTCCTCACAGGCCTCTGGAGCACTGAGCTCTCCCTTTGTCTCAGCTTTTCATTTTGAACAACAGTTGACAAATGTAAACTAAAACAATGCCCTATCTTGGAAACACACAGCTTCTGCAAACCTTTCCCTTATACGTCCCTCCTAGGGTTGTTCTCCTTTGCCCCCAATCATCAAACACTTTGGTCAAAGGGAAATTAAAAAAGAGAGACAAAGATCATAGATTGGAAAAGTGCCCTAGACTATCAAGGACACAGTGCCCCAGACTATCAAGAAGAGGATTAGATTTGGGCTTTTGCACTGGGGAGCACATTGATTCATGAGGAGCACCTGAGAGAAAAGGGCTTTACAGAGGCAGGTAAAGGCGGGATTCACCAGTGAGTCTTACTAGAGTACTGAACGCTGTCATGGGTCTTTGCTTAGAAGATGCAAACGCATAGCGATCCTATGTGACTAGAATACAAAAGGGTGGGGACATTTAGTAGTGTTGGTTTCTTTCCCAAAAACACAGGACTCAGTGAAATTCAACACTGTCCCCACTGACAGAAGACTGAGATTCCACTCACCTTCCCACCCAGTGAACCGTGCCCCAGACTGAGTGTGAGATGGGAGACCTGAATTTGCTCAGTTTTTTCTACACAGCCCGAAATGCAAGACAGGAACTTCATCCAGTGCTCAAAGAAAGAAGCAGCACTCATTCCCCTGGAGGACAGACTGTCCACGCCAACTTTGGAGAGTTGGTAGTTGTGCACCACCGAGTGCAAACTCACTGTCAATTTAGAGCCTAACTTTATGTAGTTGTGGCTTTTCTCTGCAGAAGAAGAAGCTGGGAATGAAGATGGGGGTCCACAGGGTGGGAGCCGCTGGTGGGTCCTGACTTGCCCATTTCCTGAACAGATCCTGCAGGAGCTGGAGTATGGCCCCTCAGTGGACTGGTGGGCGCTAGGGGTGCTGATGTACGAGATGATGGCTGGGCAGCCCCCCTTTGAGGCTGACAATGAAGATGACCTGTTCGAGTCCATCCTTCATGACGACGTGCTCTACCCAGTCTGGCTCAGCAAGGAGGCCGTCAGCATCCTGAAAGCTGTGAGTGTCCCAGCAGAATCCCTGTCCCTGCTCACCTGGTCTTCCCCAATGCCACTCTCTTCCTTCTCACTCTGTCCCTCTCTCTTCCTCCATCCCCCACTCCTCCTTCTGCCCTTTCTCTCCTGTTCTCTCTGCCCCACCTCTGCTCACACTGGGGACAGTCACTGCATGAGTCCAGGTTCAGTTCAGAGGGTGGACTGCCCAGAGAATGGGGCTGAGATGAATAGCTCTTCTCATGGGACAAGGACAGCACGTCTGTGTTTCCTGGGGGGTGAGGGGATGGAGCTCTGTGCCTTCCAGCCTTGCAGAGGAAGCAGAACACCTCAAATGGCCCTGGCCACAGAGGAGGCAGCATTTTGACTGGTTTTCAGAAGATGCATAGGGACTAGAAAAAGGCTTTTGACCAGGGGGATAAAGGAATGCAAAAGGCCAGTGAGGTCGTCTGGGCTCAAAAATGTATGACTTTTTTTCCTGTGGGCAACAGAAAACCATCAGAGAGGTTGAAGCAGGAGGACCTCTGCCACTCTTGGATGAGAGAGGAACATGTTGGTACCACTCGTAACTCATATCCACCCACCCTCTCCCCACTTTGCCCTCTTCTCTGTGACTCTCACCCTTCTAGTAGCATCTAAGTCTTTGCCCACATGCTTGGGCTTCAAGAGCACCAGGCAAGAGACAGAAGGAAGGCCTCCCTGCCCAAGAAAATCTCCCTTGCTGATGAAACCTGAAATTCTACTATTATATAGATTCATTTCTTTAGATTTGAGTTTGTCCCTTTGAGTTTCTTCGTTTAAATATAGACTCTCAGCCTTTGCCCCTAGAAATGGAACCCTTTTCCTCTAACACACATACACACCTGCATGCACGTGTGCACACATACGCACACACACACCACTACCTTTATTTGAGGTGGCTATCATTTTCCCAACTGTTAACACTGATTTTTTTTCAAGGTTTTCTCGGTATACATCTCCTCAATTAACTTATCATTTACCATCAGGGTGAACTCATGAAATAGAATTAATAAGTTCACCTGGGAGTGTGTGGTCACAAGACAGCTGTCAAAAAATATAAAACACATCAATATGGTTTTTACAAACAAGCACTAAGAATCAATGTCTTTCTTTTTCTTGTTTTTATCTGTTGACCTACCTGGGTAGTTTATGGTAGAGATTATGGACTCCGATTTTAAATAATGGAGAGGGCCTAGGAAAGAAGGGGTTAGGAGGTACCTTTGAATAACACCTTAACCTTAACATCTGGTCCCACCTTACCTCAAAAACGACTGTTGGCTCTCAGTATAAATGAGTTTATCAGACCTCAGTCTTCCTGATGAGAAGACAGTGAAAACAAAGGAGTTTGTGGGGAGGTTTGTAAGACCCTGAGTTTCTAATCCCAGCTTGGTATCTTGCTGGCTGTTCAACCTCAGTTGAATTAATTTATACCTCTCTGTGCCTCAACTACCTGACTTATAAAATGTGGAGAGTAGTACTATGTCAGAGGGCTGCATTTGGATGAAGTTCAGATACACACGAGGTTTAGAATGGTGAGCAGCATACAGTAAGCTGGACAGAGAGTTAACAAAGACCTAAGCGTGCAGAAGGCACTTTGGGGATGCTCCGATGATGTTGCTTTGGCTGACGTTCCTCTTTCCCTTGTGGCCTGTGCCTGCCAGACTTTTGTCGCTAATGTCTGTGTCCTCCCCACAGTTCATGACCAAGAACCCCCACAAGCGCCTGGGCTGCGTGGCAGCACAGAACGGGGAGGATGCCATCAAGCAGCACCCCTTCTTCAAAGAGATCGACTGGGTGCTCCTGGAGCAGAAAAAGATCAAGCCACCCTTCAAACCTCGAATTGTAAGTCATCCCAGAGCACGTTCCATGCGGCGGGTCGGACTGGGTGCCGTGCCCAAGGACTGGTGTGAGGCACTCTTTACACCGAGGTGACAAGGGCAGGAGGTAGCCACGATGCTCGCTGCAAGAGAGTCTTTTAAACCCTAAGAGTTCACTGTCAAAAATACGTCACCTGTATCAGTGGCCAAGATGGAACGTAGAAGAATTTTATTTTATTTTGACCTTGCTCAAAAGGTCCTTTCTTTGTTTTAATAGACTTATTTATTTGTTTTGATAAAAAATTTACAGATGATACTAGCTCTCCAGGTATGATAAATTAATGCTTTTTGAATGAGTTAAAGAAAAAACATTAAATAAGTGATGGCCATTATGTGGAAGTAGCACAAAATGAGAAGTGACAACATTGATGAAAGACTGTCCAGTAGGAACCCATGGGGGTGCTGAGTCCTTAGGCTGCATCAGAGACCCCTTCACCCTCTCTGCCTACTCCCCCTTCTGACTTCTCTAAAGCCTCAGCACACATGTCCTTCCAGGTTTTTCACCCTGTTCAGTGATGCTAGTTGGAGGGGGTGTAATAAAGTTGTTTGAAGCTCAGAGTTTGGAAAGAGGGCTGGAGCCCTCAGGTCTGCATTTGACTCAAAGAGCAAAGGTCACATCTTACAGTGACCTTCCACCAGATTGAGGAAGGCTCCTTTAAGTTGGAGAGTATGTGCACACGTGTATATGAGTGCATGTGTGTGTGTGTGTGTGTGTTCTACACATGCATGCCCACAGGCACAATATCGTCAGTCTCTTATTTATTCAGATTGAAAATTTGGGTAGTCAGCAGATTGGCTTACTGGGAGTTGAAGGGGATATGTAATAGCACCCTGAAGCACCAGCATTTGGCAGGTACTTTCTCCTCCCCACTTCCAAGCCCAAAGAAGACCTTCCTGTGCTTTGTGACTTGTCAGAGTGGAATTCCATTATAAGCCAGGAGGTTTTTTGGGGAGCCATTATTGGTGAGGCTGTGATTCTCAGCAGGTGCTATGTGGGTAATTCTCAGCTGCAATCTGTGTCCCAGGCCTCAGCCAGACTATAGCAAGGCAGGTTAACCATCTCTAGACACCACCCTGTCACCATTCGCCATATGCCTCCTCCCTTGAATTTTATGAATTTTCTTGGCTCGCACATAATTTGAAACAGGCTAGAGTCAGGTTCATGTTCTCTGTTAGCATCACCCCCACTCATGCCCACCTGCACCCCGCTCTGGGCATGCTGTGTCAAGCTCATGCTGTGGACTGGGCTCAGACCACATGCCAGCCTGCTGGAAGGCTAGGAACTGAGTGTCTCTGCAGGTGGTTTTTAAGGACAAGATCAACTGTGCCCCTGGCTAAAGCTGAGGATGCAGGAAACCAGAGGCCAGGCAGAAGAGAAGGAGAGCCTGAAGTCTCAGGTTTGAGGGGGAAATTTTAATTTAGGTTTCATCTAAGCTAATCAAACCAAAGAAAATTGACAAGTAGAGCTAAATAAAGCATCCAGGCCCATAAACAGGAATGCAGAACAAGAAGAGCAATTGACCAACATAGGCTAACAAATGAGGCAAAACTAAGCTTGTGGGTTCTGGGACAAGGCTGGAGGAGAAGGTCTCTCAGGTGTGGTAAGGGTGGGGAAGACAGGGCAGGCCCTGAGGGCACCTAGCGAGGGACTCAGGGGAAGAGAGGTCCTGGCATGGGTCAGAGAAAGCAGGCCACATCAAACAAGCAATTGATGGTAAACGGCACAAAGGAAGTTTTAAGTTTGGAAGCATGAGAAGAGCCACTAGGTTAGAAGAGGCAGCACACAACTTTACTCAAGGTGATCAGAAGAGATTGCTCTGAGATGCCAGGGCCCTAAGAAGCTCTGGTCTCTAGAAGCCCTTTCCAAAGCTCTAGCAAGAACTGATTCCTCACTGGGGCCTCCACTCTCTGTCTGAGCTCGGAGCCAGATAGACATGCAGCCCTGAGAGCAGCACTTGGCTTCCCAGGGAAGGGGGTGGGGGTGAAGAACAGGTGTGACTTCCGTGGGCCTAAGGGGTAGTGAAGGACCCTGATACAAAGGATGGGAGAAAGTGTGAAGAATGAATCTGGAGGCTGAGCACATGACCCAGTCCAGGGATGAGCAGGCCTCACTTGGCAAAGACAGGTAGAGATCTCTGTGAAGCTGCCCTGGACAGGGGCAAAGGTGCACCCTGTGACAGGCCCTGTGAACCAACAGTAGAAGCACATCTGGGGCAGTGACCCTTCCTTAGGTCTCTCAAGAGCACCCCATCTGGGGCCTCCCCTGGTGGCACAGCGGTTGAGCGCCAGGCTACGAAGCTGCCCGCAGCCTCTGCAGCGCCGGTTCGATACCCAGCCACTGGGTGAGGGTCCCATATGGCGCGCAGACCTCTCCTGCTGCCCGCTGCTCCCCTCAGCAGTGTACTTCGGTCCTTCTGCCTGTTCTGCTCCCTGCTCTGGCTCTGGTGAATTCTCTCACCCTCCCGCACTTCTGACTGTACCCAGGAAGCTGCTTGCTTCCTTTGCTGAGGGGCTCAAGTAGGCTTCCAGGGGCCTTGCCACCCCCAGAAGGGATGGCAAAGAGAAAGGGCAGGGCCATCCAGGAGGTCATCCCAACCTTAAAACTACCTCAGACTTCCTGAAGACTGACTCTTTCATTGTCTTGGAAATGAGCTTCTGTTAAAGTTCCTACTCATAGACCTTCAGGGTTCCCCTAGGGCCAGGGGGTCTTAAGGGTTCAGAGGAGAGGATGCTTATAAGGTTGGTTTGCATGCAGTATGGAGAGAAGAATTAGGATATCTGAAGGAAGGCTAAAAAGAGAAACATTGTGTAAGAGGTGTTTCTGATTCCATTTTGAGCTAAATAATGTTGATCCTTACCAAGTTATCAATTATGGATCTTTGAAGACTCATTCAAGTTATTGAAATTTCTGATCACATTTACATTCTTGAGACTAAGATTTCTCTCTGGAGAAATATCAAAATTGGGAGAGAAAAGAACAGTCCCTCTTTAGTTAGCCCATTGGACAGGTGTCCCCAAACTATCCCTCCAGTTGGTCCAGTTGAAAGCTCTGCCCTGAAAACTGTTACTGGCACCAGTCTGAGCCATCCACAGGCTTGGCAGAAATGAAGTTGAATTAAGGTCTACCACAGTAAATATACTATATTTGTCATCTCTAAAAGTTTTGCAGGAATGATGTGAAATATGTAAGGTTTTTATAAACCACTGCCCTCCCTGGGCAACTAATGGTTAACCTGGTAGTGCACTACCTGCCTGCCTCAGGTACCAGAGCAAGGACAACTCAGTGCCCCATAAGTAGTGTCACCTACAGGCAAAATAGATGGCCACCCCTAAGAGGTCAGTGGAGGTACACGGTGGAGCGGAGGCATGTCCCCTCAAGACCTCAGTCATCTTCTACTCACAGGGCAGGAGGCTCATCTCAAGACAGGTCTTCCTTAAGTGTCACGAGACTTGTCTGCTCCTCTGCCTCTGAGGAAAACTGCAAAGACATGTTTTGACAGAGAGAAGGGAAGTTGGTTTAGAGCTGGAATTTAGGAAGAAATGGCAGGAATAGCTGGTCTCAGTCAGCCAGGGCTAGTGTGAGGTTCTTAGGTCATAGGAACAGACTTGAAGTGAAAGGAAAGACATTATGAGAAGGGAGGAAATTAGAGCAGGAACAAGTCTCACTAGCTTTGCAACTGGTAGTGACCTCAAGGAAACACTAGGCATGTGTTTCAGCATCTGGGCAGCCAGACAAACAGGCGCCCCTACACTTACCTGGCTCCATGTCCCCATGGCCTTTGGTCAAGAGCCTGGGGCCCTTGGTCTCCTCAGTCTTGCTGTAAGTCTACTTGATCCCTAGCCCCGCCCCCTTGAAGGCCACACTAGAGTAGTGCCAATCCCTGAAACCTCCTCATCAGCTACCAGCCCTATCCTCCACCAGGAGAGCTGAATCTGAGGACACCGGGCAGCCTGGCTGGCTGATGCAGGAAGGAATTGGTTTTATCTAGTGGTAGGTACTGCAGGTGGGGCTGAGCAGTGCCATGTCATCCAGTGTAGGACTTAAGAAGAGCCAAGATGTAGCGGCATATTTTCAGAGCCCCTGAGCAACCCCACTTCTGTCAATAGAACCAGCCCGCAGGCACAACAAGCCTGACTCTGTCCAGGGTGGCTCAGCTGGAGGCTGGGGTACCTGGATCATGTCCAAGGGCTAAGGATACAGCAGGGAGAACAGCTCTGGGCCTGATTTCTATCCCCTTTGCAGAAGACTCACCTCTCTGAAGATATCACCAAGGAAATTGTCCAGATTCCTAGCTGGAATTTTGCCTCTGGTCAGGTTCCATCACATGCCTCGACTGGCTGCTGTCACCCCCGGGCCTTTGCCTTCTTGAGATGTTTGCTATGCTGAGATTTCTGCTCCTCTGGCGCCTAAGCCTCTCTGTCTAACCATGCCCTGACTCATCAGCTGTCCTTAGTCCAACTGGGTTTCCTGCGTCAGGTCTACATGTCCCTTTGCCCTAACCCCACCCCAGGATCTGTCTCAGTGGCCTCTGCTTCTGCGTGAAGATTCTCCTCTCATTTGTCCTCCCAACTCTCATGTATTCTGCCTCTTCCACCTTCTCTTTCACCCTCGTCCTGTCCACCCACTGTGCACCCACATACGAAACTGATTCTGCACAAATGATGTGCCATCAACTCCAGACCAAAGGCTTTGTGCCATCATGTACTCAAATCAGCTTCTGGGAGGGAGTTGTTGCAGAGCAGGACACACAGACTGCGTGGCAGGTACCCCAGCAGGAGCGGGCAAGGAGATAGAAGAGTCAGCAGGCTTGGAGACAGGCCTTTGACACTGAGAAAATTCTCCATGCATAAAATTTGTTAGTCTGTCCCACAGGGGATTTAATTCCAAGATGGTGACATCATCTGGACACCAGTGAAAGTGGCCCTTTTAGCTCCAGTGTTTTGCTGCTTGTCTTCTTTGGGGAC